TGTATATATATATATATACACACACGTATATATATATATATAGGATGCAGTAGATCACGCGCTCGCACGCATACACGCATCAGCAGCAGCTAGGCGGTTAGAAAGTAGACTGTGCAAACATGTGTCCCATGTCATTGCAATGCTCGGCCGGTAAGTAGCCCTGGCAAGTCGCTCGTTAGCTCATGTTGCCTCGCAGCTAATAGATAAAAACCCTAGCGACGCGCGATGCAGTGCGGAATACAGGTTTACTGCGACGGGTACGGCTGCAATCGGATAGCTTCGCACGTACGATCGGCGGATAGAAAGATCACCACGACGAGTAGGTGACGGAAACAATAAGGTATATATACGAGGTCGATAATGTCTAGGTAAATGATAAATAATAATGATAATGATGTATAAGATATATACAGTCGACAAAGATCAGGTAAATGGTAAGGTTTGTACCATAAAGAAAATATATTAGTTAGTGTCTCTATATATAGGCCCTATTTCTATATGGTTTGCATGTTATCGCTATTCGAAAACTGATCTCGAAAACTCCCTGTATGATCTTTTGCACAATTAATGTCTTCACCTTATACGACCCTAACCCTAATATTTGGCCCTACGGTGAATTGTCTACTGTCATGCCTGCTATCGCTGGCGAATGGAGAGGTGATGGGAGAAGGCTAGCGTGTTTTCTCCCGTGGTAGATCTTCGGCTGATGACGGTCGTCGCGAATTTACGAATCTAACGATGTCGTTGTAGCTCCTATACATTCCACCTGCAGCAGCAGCAGCAGCAGAGGTAGCAGCAGCAGGCCCAGCAGCAGTAGCAGCAGAGGTAGCAGCAGCAGGCCCAGCAGCAGTAGCAGTAGCAGTAGCAGCAGCAGCAGCAGCAGTAGCAGCAGCAGCAGCAGCGCCACCACCGCCACCACGGCCACTACGGGTATAGCAGACGCTTGTATGCATCTACGGCATCTGATCAAAGTTTCTGCGGCGGCTGCGGCGGCGGCGTGAGAGAGCATGCACACCGTGTCGTAGCAACTCTGCATGTTATCCCGTCCGGCAACCGCGCATGCAAATCGGGACCGATAAATCAACGCCGTGTTTAGAATCGTGTACGCAGTACAAAAATACAACCCGTTTTCATCGCGTCACGTCTATAACATTGCGGGGCACGCACGCACGCAGCTGCTGCTGCTGCTGCTGCTGCTGCTCTTGCTGCTGCTGCTGCCGCTGCTGCTGCTGTTACACACGCTCACTAATAACTATAGTCGTAACCAATCTTAATATAAATAATTGTCTCGCTAGCGCCGTGACCTCATGCAGGGTTGATTTTTATTCCGGTCCCGCATAAGCGCAGCTATGAACAGCGAAGTATAGTTAATACACTCCTAAGTAAAACACTTACATTTCAGCTCACAATGGCAAGTGGAGTTAATCGGGTTTTGCTCTATTGTACGACTATCGAGCATGATTATGTTATTCGATATAAACGATTCAACACACAGCCGTTAATGCCTACCAAGACAGCTGGAACACGCTCTGATGCTCAACCATAATGCAAGATTTCCTCGACTGCCCGAATAACTAGCCAAAGGCATTTAGTGGTTGACACAGGCGAGTCAATAGCAACCGGCATCATTATTCGGCTGACCGGCACGTCGCGAGCCAATCAGCGGCGCGTATCAGCGACGCTCCGCCCCGCGCTCACCGCGCCGACCAATCATCGACGGGCAGCATCTCGCGCGGTATTCACGCAGCGCTGCCACATCAAAATGCGATCAATCTTAAAGTATACATGATTGATGACGAGACTCCTCAATCACGGAGCAGGCTGTGAAAAATTAGGCAGCAGAAACATTTGTCCGAGAGCGGTATTATGGGGCGCAGTGGCTGCTGCCTCATTCTCATGCTACCGTCGCGCCATCGGTGGACGTACTGCGTCTGAAGCGGGCAGAGACACACTCGCGTGGCATCCGTGCTGAGTTATGGAAGGCCGCCATTACGTGTTGTACACACGTCGCGCTATCCCATGCTAACACCGCCAGCGCGTCTGTCTACATGCATGTAGGTCGGTGCGCGGTAACGGATGTGCTGAACATCTCTCTTATAGGGCGGTGCGTTGGATTAATAAGAGGGAAGGAAGTTAGCTGAACTGCGTCGGGGAAGTGATGACCACGCGCTTCTAGCAGCAGCAGCAACAGCAGCAGCAGCAGCAACAGCAGCAACAACAGCAACAACAACAGTAGCAGCAGCAGCAGCAACAGCAGCAGCAACAGCAGCAGCTGCAGCAGCAGCAGCAGTAGCAGCAGCAACAACAGCAGCAACAACCGTACTCGCATCGCCACGGTGTGTCGCCCGCAGTCGCACGCACACGCCGCGAGATCTCGCGCGAGGAAATGACAGGCGCGTGAAGCTCGTCGCATCCCCGTGCGTGCGTGCGCGTGCGTGCGCGTGCGTGCGTGACGATCATGAACCACATGGACGCGTCGCGACAGAGTGCCTTCATGGTCGGCAACCCGCCTCTGGCCGCTCTGCACACGATGACAGAGATGAAGCAAAGCCTCATGCAGCAGAACGGTTACCCGTGCAGCGTCAACAACGGCAACAACAGCAGCGTCATGTCGCAGGTCGGCAAAACGTCGATGAACTACGCCGCCTACACGCTTGCGACTCCGCACGGCATCAACGACATCCTGAACCGGCCGGGGATCGCGGCCGGGGTGGCGCCTTCGCTGCAGCTGCCGCACCTCAGCCTCAGCCCCGCCGGCATGTACTTCGCTACGGGCGCCGCGCGCTTCGCCGGGAAGCCGATGGGTGAGCTGCCCAGCCGGCCGCACCTCTACTGGCCGGGAATCCCGCTCCAGACAGGAGGCTCGCCGTGGAGGGCCGACCGCATGCCCGTCTGCTCGCCAGGTACACAGCACGCACACGCACGCGCACACATGCACGCACGCGCGCTCACCACGACATGCGACACAGTACATAGTATATATATATATATCACTTTAATATGATTGATCGCTACGCTTAGTGATAGACAGTCAAGGTGACCAGAACGCCAGCAGACGACAGCAGACAGCACAGGAAGACATGGACAGATCAGAAGACAGCAGACAGACAGATCGGACAGACGGACGGCTTGCGGTGGGACGGAGGCATTACGGATGGACGGACGGTAGGACGGACGTAACGGGGGTTATCGAAGGAGCGGACGGAGGAGGACGGTTACGGGGACGGCACGGACGAGGACGGAGCGGACGGCGCCACGGCACGGACGTGACGGTCACGGAGGACGGGCGAATGGCGGACGAACGAGCGACGAACACGGACGGGAGGAGGACGGATGACGCAGCCGGACGGACGGACGGCATGGACAGCGGACGACGGCTAGAACGGTGGTCATGACATATCGGCGTATCAATATAGCAGCAACACGTGTTAATGCTGCACTAGACATGACACTGAATATTATGTACATGATAGAGACGGTCAAGGTGAACGGGTTGAAACAAGGCCACAGATTATCATGATTAGCGCAAGTGGAATGGAAATTTATTGTATGATGTATTGTTTGTTATTTAACATGTACACACGCACACAAACAGACAGATACGCACACACACAAATGCAATCCAACCCACACACCGACGACATTAACACACACAATCACACACACACACGCCACACTGCGCCAACACATCCAGACACAACACACACAACGCACACAAAACAAACACACAAACACACCCACATCGATCACGCGTCGGTATTACGACGACGTGTCGATTATCACACCACACATGCATCACACAAACACACAACACAATCAACACACACACACACACACACACACACACACACACACACACACCGCGTGCGTATTAACGACCGACGTTACGATTACACACACACACACATGCGGTGGTTTACACGGCGCCCGTAATTTACAGTTTGCTCTTTCCTCCATTGCGATTTAAGTTTGATGGTTTAAACTTTTAAGCAAAGTCGCAAACAATTTGCAGTCGATACGAATACACGGCACATAAACCCAACAGCCTCCCACGCAGTGAGAAGGATTCACCTATAATATACGACCATCATAAGAATTATAAGAACCTATAGCAGCAGCAGGCGCTTGCATTATCTGACTCGTTACGACGTCATTACGCGATCGCCTTGCCCGACGGCGACAACGTATCGGTGAACGATATAGGTTTACGGTAAAAAATAGTTACGACTGTTATACGGTCGTCCCCGCTATTCGCGGGGTTTCTGCTAACGGGTTAACGTTCGTGCGGGGCGCGTGCTGTGAGACATCCCCACGCGCGCGTGTGTGACCGCGAGGCGGGGATGAACGCATGACAGACGCACGATATCTACCCGCGGTTATTTTTTACCGTAAAGACACCGCAGCGCTAAAGATATTTCGCCGTGATAGGCGGCGCACGCGCCATGTCAGTCTATGTACGCGCGCGTACGTCTGTTTACGACGGCGTCATCCCGCTACGCGAATCTATCTCGACTTTGATTGTTTTATCGCAGCTTCTGGCATCGCCGTTACTCATAGCGCTTCGCAATTATTTTCAATATACGTCTAAATTCTTCGCGAGAGACGAAACGTACTGCTTTTTCGCGAAGCGCGCGTGCCCGCCTCCGATATGTTTATTATTAATGGTAGTTTATTATGGTAATCTGTGGGGGCCTGCAAAACATGGGAGAGTAACGACGAGAGATGTCGATTGTGGCATATCGTTAGTGTAAGTGATACAGTACTAGCTGTACGCTTACACACGTGCGTAGCAGACATAACTGGATGTGTAGATTGTATCATGATTGTATCAATGTATAGATGATATAAATGTGGTCGCTGCCAATTCGTTGTACATCCATCGCCAGTTGACTTTACAATCCCCGTCATTTGTTACCTGCGTTGCCTCGCTATTTTGCGATGATCGTCTGTGCATTATGCTGTAAGTGGCATCTTACGATACCGAATATGATTACATTATCTTCACCGTAATCATAATTAATGCATCCATCTGTAATCTTGCAGTACAATGGTGTATTGGTACTTGCAATACTGTAGGCGGCATAGGGATTGATATGAAAAGAATATCGCTAAATTCACATTTATTTGTCTGTCGAGATGTCGTATGTTGCCTTCTGCATTTTTTTATCTCACTTCCTCGCTTCTTCCGCCCTCGCTCACGCTCTCTCTCTCTCTCTCTCTCTCTCTCTCTCTCTCTCTCTCTCTCTCTCTCTCTCTCTCTCGCTTTTCTGTCTCGCTCTGCGTTGCTCTCTCTCTCTTCGCTGCTCGTCTTTTCTTTTGCTCTCTCGCTTCTCGTCCGGCATTTCATTTCTGTGTTTTGTGCGTGTGTGTGTGTGTGTGGGGGGGGGTCGGTGTTTAACGTTTACGTTTTTCAATGCTTGTTGAATTTAAGTGATGAATTGAACTTTGATTCACTTTTTTGGCTATCGCCGGGTCCTGGCACAATCATTGATAAATGAGATCTTTAAGTTTAAAATGTAATATTCATGACAGTATATACAACAAATTCAACCGACAGCCAGCTCTGAAACGCAGTATCAATGTGGCCACGCTTGTGGCGTTTTCATTTATTATAAGACGGCTGCTGAAATTGAAATTAAACTGTGGTTCGCAGGCATTCGTGACGTATAATACACTATTTCGATCTATTTCTCATTTTTTCTGGAAGGTAGTTTGTCCGTTAACGTTTCTCTGATGTTTTTTAAAAACGCCGCCTTAATATTTGTATTGCGCATTTTGAAAATTCCAACGAATTTTATTAATTATCAGCAATAGCTCTATTGCTTATTTAAATTTATACATGATATCATAAGTAAGTAGCGATTGAACAAAGAATATTATTTGTTTTGCACGTATTTTGTATCGAATCGGTTTCGTCGTGGGTCTGCATCCTGTATAGTCGCATATGCATGTATATCTATGTATCTTGTGAATATTTATATGATATAGTATATATATATATATATATATATATATAATATATCAAGAGTACATAATAGAGAGAAGAGTATGACACGTTTTAACAGTGTTTTGCATAGCTTTTTCAACTTGCAAATATTCCTATCAATATGTGCATAAATATATTCAGAACTTTATCTCTGTTTTTGCGTCTCGGATTCCTCCCTTAATCATATGACAGCCATCAGTTTACCTAAAAATCCGTATGTGTTCTTCTAAAAATGGTTCTTTGAATTAACAACGTTTCACACAGTTTTCCAAATGTTTGCCTCGAATTCGGGAATGTTTGATTTGCGGCGGCAACACGCAGGTTTGTATACTACGGGACGGTGTGGGGCTCTTGGGATATTAGGTAAGCACAGATGAACAGCAGGCTGTTTTCGCTTGCTATCATCAGAACAGCGATGGCTAACACAGTCTAAAATAAGCTGCTAGCTCGCGTTGGAGCACACATTTATTTCTAGGGCACGCTGGAAACGCTACACGCTGAATACAATTTGAGTTGGAATATCGGCCCCAACGCCCCAGCGTTGACGTCATAGACAATAGAAAGCTAACTCTATAATAAACTTTCGCGGCTAAGATGCGAATGGTTGGGACAACTGTGTGAAACGCGTGTCGTATTCAAAGACTTTTTTGAAAAACACATACGATTTTCAGGTAACTTGTTGGTGTCATATGATTAAGAGAGATCATAGACGAAAACAAGGTAAAACTGTAATATATTTATTCACATATTGATAGAATATTCTACAAGTTTAAATTATGCAAAAACGCTGTTAAACGGTGTCATACTTCTTCTCTCTATTATGTACTATATTATATATATATATATTATATAATATAATATAGTTATACTATATTTATATATATATATTTATTTATATAGGCGTATATATATTATATTTATTTATTTATATATATATATATATATAGTATATAATACGTATTTCTTCATCATGTATTCCTGATGTACATATAGACAAAATAGCAAATATTTAATATTACAGTTTATTATAGTTTCATCATCATTTATGACTTTGTGTCTAGCCGCTGCAGACCCTTAATGCTAGACGGTGACCGAATCCGTATGTTGCAAATAAATGTCGGAGAAATAAGATCTGATCAATTAAAATATAATCTTAATAAATCAACTCGAACCGCTCAGATATCGACGACAGTGACACGCGTGTAATCTCCTCATTTGCCGAAAACTCCGTTTCTCATTTACTGCTAATGTGATGCGAGAAGAATTAATGCGATACAGGTCGGATACTCGCCTCTACGAGATTATCATAATCAAGCATTAATGTATAACTAGAAGCAGAGGTCTGGGTCTGGTGGTTATGGCCCAACCGCACGCACATACGCGCGCGCACACACACAACACACGCACACACATCACACACACAACACACACACACACACACACACACACACACACACACACACACACACACACATACATCACACACAGCACACACACACACACACAACACACACACACACACACACACGGACACGTATACAGGCCGGGCACGCATACGCACACACACAATAACACACCACACACAAACACACAGCACACACACACCCGACACACACCACACACACGGACAGCGTATAACACATAATTAGCAGGTTGCACGCACAGCGCACGGTACGCATACACATATACACTCATACAAACACACACACAGCACACACACACAGAGCACACACACAGCACACACACGCGCGCGCGCACGTCGG